CTATTCATCAAAACTCCTCCCTGTGAATGAGACCACCAGTGCAACTTTAGCCTCTTTCACTGTATATCTATCTGGCTTAAACACTAAACAGTGCCTAAACACAGTGGTGTAAAGTACTTAAGTAAAAATACTTTAAAGTACTATTTAAGTAGTTTTTTGGGGTATCTGTACTTTACTTTACTATTTATATTTGACAACTTTTACTTTACTACATTCCTAAAGAAAATAATTTAATTTTTACTCCATACATTTTCGCTGACACCCAAAAGTACTCATTACAGTTTGAATGCTTAGCAGGACAGGAAAAGGGTCCAATTCACGCGCTTATCAAGAGAACATCCCTGGTCATCCCTACTGCCTCTGATCTGGCGGACTCACTAAACACAAATGCTTCGTTTGTAAATTATGTCTGAGTGTTGTAGTGTGCCCCTATCTGTACATTTAAAAAACAAGAAAATGGCACCATCTGGTTTGCTTAATATAAGGAATTTGAAATTAGTTATACTTTTACTTAATACTTAAGTATATTTTAGCAATTACATTTACTTTGATACTTAAGTATATTTATACCAAATACTTTTACTGAAGTAGTATTTTACTGGGTGACTAACTTTTACTTGAGTCATTTTCTATTTAGGTATCTTGACTTTTACTCAAGTATGAAAATTGGGTACTTTTTCCACCACTGCCTAAACATACTGTACATGAAACACATAACAGGATCCATATGCAAGGAAGAGATTAATGGTAAGTCTTACCAACAGCACTGGTGGAGTTGCTTCCTGTACCATTATGAGCTGTTTTCTTTGTTGTCTGGGACACTAATGGCTAATCCACATGGAATTCCAGCGTAATGCAACTAATCATACCACTCAGTTAATTATAGTAGACATTACAGTCACCTTAAAATCAGGATATATTTGAGCTAATATGGCTAAAATTCGCTAGCTAGCTGACCAAAAGCTGTGATGATGTATTTGAGAGACAACAAGTGCTCATGTATTTATGTTTTCAATAAACTTTGGAGACTAAATATAGTTTACATGTTGTCAACAATCTAAGCCAACGACATCTGTTTTGCCCCATAGTTGCGCAAGCGTCGGTTTTGTTGATAATGAAAACGTATAAATGCAAAAGACAGCCTCTGCATGACATCAGTAGCCCAGTGCTCCAAATAGCACACGGTCTCTATTTTAACACCAATAAACCCATCCGTTTACAAATGAATTTAGTATATGTCAACCTAGCAAGCCAGGCAACTGAAAGCAATTTTCTAAACAATGTTTTGGTTCGTTGCTAGTTAGCTTGTTAACAGCTGGCTAGCCAGTATAATTAATAATATTAATATGCCATTTAGCAGACGCTTTTATCCAAAGCGACTTACAGTCATGCGTGCATAAATTTTTTGTGTATGGGTGGTCCCGGGGATCGAACCCACTACCTTGGCGTTACAAGCGCCGTGCTCTACCAGCTGAGCTACAGACGTCCTAACTTTGGCTTCTTTTTTATGATTTATTACAGTAAAATAAACCCACAACAATATTTACAAGGTAATGGTGAGCTTGCAGAAATAGTTTACTGCCACAGTGTTACGAAAGAAAAGTAAGTCATTCTGAGAATTTTAGAACTCCTGCATCAATTTGTCACAGGAGGATTTGGTCTGGTTGCTGTGGCAGGCCGGTAACCACGACAACAGACAGTCTTGAGACAAACTTTTTAATGTCTGTTGGGGAAACGCAAAGAAAAATCACACTCATACCAAAGGTTTTAATAACTAAATCATTGTTCTATCTGTGCCCATACCCTATGAAAGTCCCGCCTACTTCCTGGTTCAAGTCCCGTACTGTTTTTCAATGGGCTTCAAATTTATATCGCAGTTTCTAAACCCAGAGGAGCAACATCGCGAGACTTCCGGGAACGTTTGCGAAACAGACAAGGACGGGCTTTGAGAAGTCAATGAGTAGTGAAACATTCTTCCTTAGTTGGTAATTTTCTCGAAATCTAAAAGGCACAACCTAGATTCGAGCCAATGTCTTAAGTAGTTCAACATGTTATCACTCCAACCTTGTGAAAATTACATTTTCATTTGTCAAAAACCACTCTATATCGAAAGAGTGCCTTTCAGTTGACAGCCTGCACATGCGTAGTTCTGCACGAGGCGACCATTAGACCCGATTACGTGTTTCTGCGCATGAGTTTAGCTAGCAAACATCGCCTACAAGCGTGATCGGGGATTTCTATTGCAGAAGGTGTTTCTGCCCATCTTCATGTACCATCTTTGCTTATATCAAAATTCATGAAAATGGGGTCATTTAACATATGTACAATTATATTTGTATTCGTGGATTAATTTACCTTTACCCAATGCCTTTTGTGAAGGTTTTCGATTACGGGGGAAAAAACGCAATCGAAAACCTTAATGAAAGGTATCAGGTAGAAATACATTAATCCACAAATACAAATATAATTTTACAGGCATCTTCAATGTCCACGTTTTCATAAATTTATATAAACTTGAAGCCCATTCAAAAACAGTATGGAACTTGAACCAGGAAGTAGGCTGGACTTTTCATAGCGTATTGCGCAGAGTAAAGACAGTTTGGACTACCTTCTTTCTTCATCTTTCTTCATGTAATGGAGTCATATTTTATTCACTGCAAATTATTAATTCCTCCAATCCGTGGGCATACATACAATGGAGTAAAGAAAGCAACCTACTCCATAATCTAAATCTAGAAATCAGTCATCTGAAATTAGGCAATGTTTCATAAACTACGTTTTTTATTCTGGATAAATCTATGTATAATAAACCTAGTCCTGATTTAAATTAAGATCTGTCCGGGAAACCGTCCCTGTGTGTTGACGGAGTCCGCAATTACAACAAAAATAAGTCAATATGGTGTAGTTTGAGGTCAAGATTTATAGCTTCACTATTGTCCACTTTAATCTCAGATTTTTCATAGAAAAGACAGGTAAGTGCTATTGCAACACAGTATTCGTTGATGGGGCTTTGAACAATGTAAAAATTATTATTTCTTCCACATTATGACTTTCTAAGTCGATAAGGTGCTGCTTGTACAACACACTTAAATATATTATGCACCGTAAATAATTATAAAATGTATTAATTGTAAATGTAATAATGATAAAAGTAGGACTGATGGAAGGTTTTTGTTGAGAAGGTAAGATCATTTTAGAAAGATTCTCCAGGATTCCTAAATTGGCAATTACCTCTCTGCCCAAATATAATTGAGTGGTGCAGTGGTCTAAGGCACTGCATCACAGTGCTAACTGTGCCACTAGAGATCCTGGTTTGAATCCAGGCTCTGTCGCAGCCGGCCGCGACCAGGAGACTCATGGGCGGCGCACAATTGGCCCAGCGTCGTCCAGGGTAGGGGAGGGAATGGCCGGCAGAGATGTAGCTCAGTTGATAGAGCATGGCGTTTGCAACGCCAGGGTTGTGGGTTCGATTCCCACGGGGGGCCAGTATAAAAAAAAAAATATGTATTCACTAACTGTAAGTCGCTCTGGATAAGAGCGTCTGCTAAATGACTAAAATGTAAATGTAAATGTATAAAAAAAATATATGTATTCACTAACTGTAAGTCGCTCTGGATAAGAGCGTCTGCTAAATGACTAAAATGTAAATTAACCAAGCACCAAAAGACAGGGAGACAACTGTGTGAGAGTGGTGATGCCACTGAACATCAGTGTGTATATATATATTTTTTAAAGGGCTTCTGGTGCATTAATGCCAAGATATAGATAGATATAGTGAACAAAAATAAACACAACATGCAACAATTGTACACATTTTACTGAGTTACAGTTCATAAGGAAATCAGTCAATTGATATGAATTCATTAGGCCCTGATCTATGGATTTCACATGACTGGGGAGGTATGAAGCCATGGGTTGGCATAGGCCCACCCACTGGGGAGCCAGGCCCAGCCAATCAGAATACGTTTTTTCCCACAAAAGGGCTATTACAGACAGAAATACTCCTCAGTTTCATCAGCTGTCCGGGTGGGTGGTCTCAGAAGATCCAGTTTCATCAGCTGTCCGGGTGGGTGGTCTCAGAAGATCCCGCAGGTGAAAAAGCCGGATGTGGGGGTCCTGGGCTGGCATGGTTACAGGTGGTCTGCGGTTGTGATGCCGGTTGGACGTACTGCCAAATTCTCTAAAACGTTGTAGGCGGCTTGTGATAGAGAAATTAACATTAAATTAGTGGACATTCCTGCAGGCAGCATGCCAATTGCACGCTCCCTCAAAACTTAAACTGCCATTGTGTTGTGTGACAAAACTGCACATTTTAGAGTAGCCTTTTGTCTCCAGCACAAGGTGCACCTGTGTAATGATAATGCTGTTTAGTCAGCTTCTTGATATTCCTCACCTGTCAGGTAGATGGATTATCTTAGCAAAGGAGAAATGTTCACTAAGGATGTACAAAAAATTCTGCATAAAATTGTAGAGAAATAAGCTTTTTGTGCGTATGGAAAGTTTCTGGGATCTTTTATTTCAGCTCATGAAACCAACACTTTACATGTTGCGTTTATATTTTTGTTCAGTATATATATATATATATATATACATTTCATAAAAAGTATATATATCTCAAACAGCGGTCCTATGTACTGTAGGTGACAGACAAAATGTGAATGACTCGTACTGATATTTTCACATGAATTAGGTGTTTAATGATTTACACAATAGAAGAAAAAAAACATATCGTAAACAATTCGGCACAATGTCAGAAATAAACAGTCATGTCTCCATGAGGAATTTGGCCTAATGAACATTGACCCTAAGACTATAGCAATACCTACAAGCATTACAGCAGGCACGCATCTAATTTCCTAAAGCACGCTTTCTCTCATTTCCTATGAGGCCTTCCAGAAACTCATCCCGGAACTTTTAACCTTACAGATATCGCTGTTGTTCTTGATGTCTGAAAGCAGGAAGTTGCCCCACTATGAATGATAGAGATTATATCACTGAGTCTACATAACAGCAGCATTATGGCAAGCACTCCTGTCTCTACCTCCTTTCTTATTTCTGAAAGTGCGGTCAGAAGATTTACGGGACTGATCGCGTGTCGCTGCCACACCATTACAGCTATGGTTTTTGTAGTGTCTTATGTCAGAAAAGCCCTTTCCACATCTCTTGCAATAGTAAGGCCTCACTCCAGTGTGGACTTGCATGTGGGCTTTGACATTGTTGGCTTGGCTGAAACCTCTCCCGCAGACATCACATTTGAATGGCTTCTCTCCTGTGTGGACTCGCTCATGCCTTTTGAGATTGGTGTTGACTGAGAAAGTCTTATCACAATAACTGCATTTGAAGGGCTTTTCACCTGTATGGGTCCGCTCATGTCCTTCAAGAGCTTGCTTAAGAACAAATGTCTTTTCACAGTATTTACAAGCGTAGGGCTTCACTCCACTGTGAAGTCTCATGTGATAGTCCAAAGTATTTTTATAGGAAAAGTTTTTTCCGCAAATGGAACAACAGTATTGCTTTTGTCCTGTGTGACTTCGTTGATGGTTTTTCAGAGTTAGCATGGAGCTGAAGCCATTCAAACATATGTTGCAACTAAATGGCTTTGTTGAGGTTCCCTCTCTTCTGGCGGTTCTCTCTCTCGTTCTCTCTCTTCTCTGTCGTTCCCTCTGCTTCTCTCCTTCAACTGTGTGCCATTTTAGATGGTGTCGTCTCATTTGAAAATTGTACATAAAAGTCTTCCCACATAGGTCACACATAAATGGTTTGGTTGCCCCATGATGGTGCATGTGAGCTTTTAGGTCGGTGGACTGAAGGTAGCTTTTCCCACACACTTTACATTTGTACGGTCTCTCTCCTGTGTGAAGAACTTGGTGTCTCTGAAGGTTTGCTTTATGGCCGAAAGCAGCTCCACATGTCTCACATTTAAATGCCTTCTCCCCTGTGTGAACAACCATGTGGTTTTTGAGGCTGCTGCTTGTCACAAAGCTCTTACCACACTCAGAACATGAGTGCGGACGTACACCTGTATGTGTTCGCATATGAATATTTAGGCCACCATGCTGTCTGTAACTCTTCCCACATACAGCACAGCTGTATGGTTTTTCACCGGTGTGGATTCTCTCGTGCTCGATAAGCAGTTTCCTTGATGTGAAAACCTTTTCACAAGTCAGGCACTTGAACGGTCTCTCCACCGCATGAACAAGCTGATGTTTTTTCAGATCTTTCTTGGTAGAGAATGTATTTCCACAGACTTTGCAACTGAACGTTCTTTCTCTGTGACGCAACATGTGATGTTCGAGCTGCTTGGAAATTCTGAATGTTTTGCCACATTGACCACAAGCGAATGGCCTCTCTTCTGTGTGAATTAGCATGTGATGTACCAGTGTGTGAATTAGCTTGTGAGCTTCCAGTGACCCCTTCCTGCTGAAGGTCTTTTCACAAACATCACACTTGAAGGGTCTTGTGTGAGTTAGCTTGTGTTGTACCAGCAGGTTGTTCCGGCTGAAGGTCTTCTCACAAACATCACACTTGAAGCGTTTGGTTTCTTTGGATCGTGTCCCTCTAGTAGTATGGCTGTTTTTCTGGCTTTCATGGCCGTCTCTCTCGTTGCCCTCTGGCAGAGCAGCTCTCATATGCTCAACGTTGGATTCGGTGTCTCTTGGGGAGGGGTCTGTATTCAGTCCATCTGTGTCTCCCAGAGAGGAGTCATTCTCCAATGAAGACGTCTCTGTGGGTTTACTGCAAACCTTTACAGGATCTAAAGAGAAAAGGAATGAGTATATACACATTATAAAACTATAAATTAAGCAGGTTTCATTAGTGCACACCGTAGCAAAATGTGTTGCAAAGGAAAGTGAAAACAAGCATCCAGGTAGTCCCTTCCCTATAGGCAGCGCATCCAATAGGCTAGCTAAGCTTCCCCATAAGTCAATTGAATTAAATTTGCAGAAATTATATAATTACTCCGGTCTATACAGAAATAAATCAAATCCTTCGAAATACTACACCAGAGAGCATGATTTAGCCACAGAGGATCATTAGCTTTTTAAAATTGTTTTGCTGTGGATTGTTTTAAAATCACAAGCGCATAGCCTAAAGTCGGGAAGCGCGCAATTTCAGCAGCTTGGCAAATGCTCCGAAATGGACCCACCCGGACCCGATATGCATAAATACAACATTTTAATATAGAGAGACCTGTTCCGTATAGACTGGTAGGATCCAAACACGGTCCGATCCGAGTGAGCGTATCAGCATAAAAGTAATTTAAGCTACTTTATTAACCGGGGCTGCGCAAGAGTAGGGAGAGAGGTGCCTCTCTAGCAAGCAGGGGAGGGGCCTTACTGTGAGCAAGTGATGCAGGGAGGGAGAGACAGCAACCAACCAAGCTGATTCGCGCTATAGATGGGTTAGCTGACGTCGTCACGAAAACGATGCACATGCTTCAATGGGGCAGACGTCTGAGTTGTTGTGATTCTGGATGGCCAGATAATTACCAACAATGACAAGAAACTGCCATGTGGGGAATCGTAAGTGACTCGTTTCAGTTTTCATGATGGTCAACACCATGATCTGTATCTAAGGGACTAGTTTCAGTTTTCATGATGGTCAACACCATGATCTGTATCTAAGGGACTAGTTTCAGTTTTCATGATGGTCAACACCATGATCTGTATCTAAGTGACTAGTTTCAGTTTTCATGATGGTCAACACCATGATCTGTATCTAAGGGACTAGTTTCAGTTTTCATGATGGTCAACACCATGATCTGTATCTAAGTGAATTGTTTGATGTTCCATAATGATCTTGTTTTCATCAATTGATTCCACTTTGATAGACAAAAATATATATTTCCTCCATCAACATGGTTTCCAAGACCATTGATTCAGAATCTTTTGTTTTAGCTTGACCATCATCTTGTATTCGTCTAGATTCAGGTAACAGGCGACAGTGGCTGTAACACCCCCCTTTCACTTTGACAACTTCTGTAGTTTAAAACAGTACAGATGCAAACATGTAGACATGAACATTCTCTTCAAAACATGTTAAAATCCAGTTTTGTTAAGAGTTGACAGTAGTTAAAAACCATTAAAACTTCCAGCAACATTACTCAAGGACACCGACAGATTTTTCACGCAGTCGGTTCGTGGATTCGAACCAGCAACCTTTCACTTACTGGCCCAATGCTCTTAACCGCTAGGCTACCTGCCGCCCTAGTGTCTTCCTTTTTTATGATGGTATAATTTAGGCCATCATGTATTCAGTTATTGTAAAATTTGAATTATCTGGGAGTGATGCTGAAAATGTTGCTTTACCAGAGAGAATGTTTTATACAATTTCCATGAAGCAATTTTGATAGACATCATGGTTTCAAAGTTAATTGATTTAGAACGTTGCATTTGTTTCAGCTCAACATTTACTGATGACCTGACACTTCCATCCTCTTTATCTGAGCTACACTATATATATATATACACACACAAAAGTATGTGGACAACCCTTCAAATTAGTGGATTTGGCTTTTTCAGCCACACCCGTTGCTGACAGGTGTATAAAATCGAGCATACAGCCATGCAATCTCCATAGACAGTCATTGGCAGTAGAATGGCCTTACTGAAGAGCTCAGTGACTTTCACCATACGCAATGCCAAGCGTCGGCTTGAGTGGTGTAAAGCTCGCCACCATTGGACTCTGGAGCAGTGGAAATGCATCTCTGGAATGATGATTCACGCATCACCATCTGGCAGTCCGATGGACGAATCTGGCTTTGGCGGATGCCAGGAGAACGCTACCTGCCCCAACACATAGTGCCAACTGTAAAGTTTGGTGGAGGAGGAATAATGGCCTGGGGCTGATTTTCATGGTTCGGGTGAGGCCCCTTAGTTCGAGTGAAGGGAAATCCTAACGCTACAGCATACAATGACATTATAGACGATTCTGTGCTTCCAACTTTGTGGCATCAGTTTGGGGAAGGCCCTTCCTGTTTCAGCCTGACAATGTGCACAAAGCGAGGTCCATACAGAAATGGTTTGTCAAGATAGGTGTGGAAGAACTTGACTGGCCTGCACACAGCCCTGACCTCAAACCTATCGAACACCTTTGGGATGAATTGGAACGCCGTCTGCGAGCCAGGCCTAATCGCCCAACATCAGTGCCGGACCTCACTAATGCTCTTGTGGCTGAATGGAAGCAAGTCCCCGCAGCAATGTTCCAACATCTAGTGGAAAGCCATCCCAAAAGAGTGGAGGCCGTCATAGCAGCAAAGGGGGGACCAACTCCATATTAATGCCTATGCTTTTGGAATGAGATGTTTGATTAGCAGGTGTCCACATCATTTTGGTCATGTAGTGGGTGTTATTGACAGAATGTTCTACATCATAATCATTTTCTAGGTTTCTTCTTATTTTTAAAAAATTGATTCCACTTTGATGGGCTGAAAATCAACTTCCTCCATTGTAATGGTTTCCAAGACCATTGATTCAGAATCTTTTGTTTTAGCTTGACCATCATCCTGCATTTGTCTAGATTCAGGTAACAGTGGCTGTACCCCATAGAAACGCCCCAATGACGCAAACTTTCATGGTATGACACTGGATCCTATTAGTAGAGGGTCTGAGGATTCTGAAACACCCCCTTTTCACTTTGACAACTTCTACAGTTTAAAATGGTACAGAAGCTAACATGTGGATATACATTTTCTCTTCAATACATAAAATCCTGGTTTTGTTAAGAGTTGACAGTAGTTAAAAACCATCGAAAACTTCCAGCAACAGTGTTGGTATTGTGTTATTGTTGTTTTTCACAGGGTATTATAATGAAAAGCATCACCAATATATTTTAAAAAATCTAATAATACAGTCAAATGCTTTATTTAAAGCTAACTTCGATCCCCCTTTGTTAATTGATTTCCATAATGTATTGTTTGCATTTTCAATAAATGAATGTTTAAGTAAGTTCAAAGTATCATTGTGTATTTTTTTCTTCTTCCGAAAACCATGTCAAGTAAAAGTCAGGAGGACTTTTATTTAGAAAATTAGGCTTTTGAACACGTGACCTAATTTGAACTAGCTAGCTTCACATTACTGGCAGGAGCTGCCGATGGCTAGCTAGCTGTTATGCGAACGAGTTTGAGGGGGAAAATGGCTACAGTTTACAATATGTTTCAGTTAGAAACAACACAGATTATGGCCATTCTAGGTGCGTTATTTCTATGCTTCCCGTTCTTAAGTTTCATTTTTGCGTCTTTTACTTTTGGTTTTGTACACCAGCTTCAAACAGCTGAAAATACGATATTTTTGGTTATGGAAAATATATTTCACAGCGGTTTAGATGGTACAATCATTTTCTACAATATACTTGCTTGGTCACGAACTGAAATTAAGCAAACTATTATAATTTTAACAACCAGGAAATGGTGGAGAGATTTCTGAATAGTGCATCTTTATAGGAGAAATCCACCCAAAACCACTCATTACTTTATCTTACAGTGATAAATAACACTAATATGTGAGAACAATATTTTTTGTGAACAAATGTTTCATTTTGGCATTATAATAAGGTTGGTAGCAACATGGAAAATCATTGTGAAAATCTGTTGTAGCTCAAGTCGACTACAAAATCCACAATGCAATGCTATCTCTATGGGCTGGCTATCTAGTTAGCTAGGTAGCTAGCTAGCAAACATAGCTACACACACTACCAAAGACAATATTAGCATGTAAAGTAGCTAGTTAGTGCAGTTTGTTTAGGCGATATACAGCTCTTTCACCACGTTCAACCTGCAGATCAATGTGTCTCACAGAGTGGAGTCACATTCGCAATGGCAGGTATACTTTTGAGGAGATGGGAAACATTGCCCGTGCTACGTCAATGGAACGTGCGGTGCATTCTGGGCGATTCTGGGACAAGGAGCGCTCTCCTTCAAGGAGTGAATGGGAGTCTATTAGGCGCTAGCTCAAAAACCCAACATTAGCACGAATTTCGTCAACAAGAAGTACAACATTACAAATCTTTTCAGAGAAGTGAGATAATTAACTTGCCATCTGTAATATCAAATAGCTTTGGAATCTTGACATTGCGTACTTTCGAGGAAAATAGGCACGTTTCTTGACAAATACACTGACTGAGAAGGGATTGTGTGACTATCTTAGCCACCATGTGACGCAGCATGACAACGTGAACGCGATTGGTCAACAGTCTGCTGGGTGGGGCGTTATACGTTTTTCATTCATTCATTCATTGGATTCCTATCTCCTTTCTATAATATATCTGGCAATGGTACCATGCAATGCACCCTGGACTAAAGAAGTAGACAAACAGGAAAAATGTGCTAGACCCTCCATTAAATTAAAAATGTCTCGAGGTAGGAATATCTCAAAAATATGATTCCGAGTTCTGACATCAGCCAGTATTGAAATCTGACATGTATGATAAGACGTTTTCGCAATCTAAAAGTAATATTCCTATTAACTTCCAGTGTAGTGAGACCGATTTTATCACAGTGCTACATCATACCAGCCGGATTTCTGCCTGCTTGAACGCCAATAACTCAGATACACATGAAAACTTGAAATCAGCCAGGGAATCGGTAGAACATCACTTAGAGATGCACAATAACAATATAACATTCAAAATGGGTGAACCTTTCCTTTAAGTAGCAGCCTACCTGTTGGCTCTTGGTCGTTGTAGCCTATCCTTCTCCTTTAACTTTTAATGCCGTCATTTTAATTCCATCTTCCATTGATTAGATATCTCCTAACTTTTGCCACACACAGAGGCTCTATGACTGTAGCCTATTGCAGCTTTGATTACATACGATTGGCCAACAACAAGTTACGGGTATGTGTAGTGCCCCACACTCCACTCTCATGAAAAACAAGAGCAGCAGCATAAATGATAACACTTCTCTCTTTCCTGCAGCAGTCACGTTCGGATCTGTATGGGCCCTTCCGGACAAGTCAGTTCAAATTACACATACCCGAGACAATCATCAGATCCAACCCAGACATTATTTGGAATTCTGGATCCGGACCCACTCGGGTCCAGGATCTGGTCTCAGGCAGGTGGAGCCGTGAAGACCTCTATATCCAATCTACTCATCACATTAGGAATAGTAGGCCATCTTACATTAGTCCCTAAAATGTGAAAATAGCTTCCCTAAACTGAACTTACTGGCCGCCTATGCCCACCCCTGTTTTGGCCCATTTGCTTCCGTTTGGTTCTTAGTGAATAAGACCTAGGTTTGCTAACCATTGTTCAAAATAAGGATTACCTGCACAGACTGAGGTCGCGTTAGTGACAGTGTTTGCTTGACTGACATTCCCTGGCAATGTTGAAGCCGCTGTCATTACAGGCAACATTGGGAGACCTAAAACATAACAAGCATAATTACCTTTCAAACACATTCACATTTTACATTTACATTTTAGTCATTTAGCAGACGCTCTTATCCAGAGCGACTTACAGTTAGTGAATACATTTTTTTTATTTTTTATACTGGCCCCCTATGGGAATCGAACCCACAACCCTGGCGTTGCAAACGCCATGCTCTATCAACTGAGCTACATCCCTGCCGGCCATTCCCTCCCCTACCCTGGACGACGCTGGGCCAATTGTGCGCCGCCCATGAGTCTCCCGGTCGCGGCCGGCTGCGACAGAGCCTGGATTCGAACCAGGATCTCTAGTGGCACAGTTAGCACTGCGATGCGGCGCCTTAGACCACTGTGCCACTCAGGAGGCTCACAACTCTCACCTTTCCATTTCTTTCCACAAAATTGTGTGATTTAGGCCTAAATTGATTTTTTAAAATAATAATAATCAGTAGGCAAAATCATCCCAATAGCTAACGTGCTAGTTATAGATAATGTTTAGGCAGTAAGTAAAGGCTAGCTAGCTAAGTCTATAACACTTACCAACTGGTGGTATTGCAAAAATCATTCCATTGAGCAGAATATGCGTGGGTCCCTTCGGTTCTGCTTGAGCCTGCATTTTAGCCAGTGACGTTCTATAATGTTCAGCCTTCTCAGTCATTGCCTTCATATCTTCATTCATCTGCTCCACCTTGGTCTTCATATCTTCATTCATCTGCTCCACCTTGGTCTTCATATCTTCCTCCATCTGCTCCACCTTGGTTTTTAGTTTCTCGTTCTCATTTTGTAAACTTGAGGAGGCCACCAGGAATAGTTGGCAAATTTTACGAATAGCCTCCCCTGTCACCAGATTCATTATGATGCAAAGCTGTGTAGAAAAATTTAAAATAAATGTTACCTAAATAGTTAACTAGTTATCTGTGCTGCAAGCTATGCTGCAAAGAAAATGATGCGAAACCACTAAGTTAACACGCTTAGCTACGGGATAGCAGTAAGTAACGTTAGCTAGCTACCTAACTAACTAAGGAAATTGCAGGAAGCTAGCTAACTTAGCCATAGTTACACCAAATATTATCATAGTGGTTGGATAAACTACTAGACAACGTATATTTAGCTAGTTAGTTAGATAAAGTTACGCGTTAACAGTACGTTGCCACAGATAGAACAATGAGCCAGATATTTTACCGGATGTATAATTGGGTTACTTATAAAACATTTTTGACGCAGTTGTTAGCTCAACTCCGTCCGTCACTCTGTACTCACCTCTCTCTCCGGATTGCAAACGTAAGAGTTTGGCACGGTGGGAAAAAAATTGCTAATTTCTGTCATTGCCGTCTCGACAACAACGGCCATAATTGATGTTGTTTCTAACTGAAACATTTTGTTAGCTGTAGCCATTTTGCCAGACTCATTCGCATAACAGCTAGTTAGCCATCTGTCACTTAGCATCGGCTCCTGCCAGTAATGTGAAGCTAGCTAGTTGAAATTAGGTCACGTGTTCAAAAGCCTAATTTTCAAAATAAAAGTCCTCCTGACTTTTACTTGACATGGTTTTCTGAGAAAAAACACAAAATGATACTTTGAACTTACTTAAACATACATTTATTAAAAATGCAAACAATACATTATGAAAATCAATTAACAAAGATAGATCGAAGTTAGGTTTCAATAAAGCATTTGACTGTATTATTAGATTTTAAAAACTATATTGGTGATGCATTTCATTATAATCCCCTGTGAAAAACAACAATAACACAATACCAACACTGTTGCTGGATGTTTTAGTGGTTTGAACTACTGTCAACTCTTTAACAAAACAGGATTTTAACATGTTTTAAAGAGAAAATGTTTATATCTACATGTTTGCTTTAGAACCGTTTTAAAATATATACGTTTTCAAAGTGAAAGGGGGGTGTTTCAGAATCATCAGACCTTCTACTAATAGGATCCAGTGTCATTCCATGAAAGTTTACGTAATTGGAGCGTTTTTATGGGGTACAGCCACTGTTACCTGAATCTAGAGGAATGCAGGATGATGGTCAAGCTAAAACAAAATATTCTGAATCAATGGTCTTGAAAACCATGACAATGGAGGAAATTGATTTTCAGCCCATCAAAGTGGAATCAATTAAAAAATAAGAAGAAACCTACAAAAAGAGTATGATGTAGAAAATTATGTCAATAACAAACATAGCTCAGACATAGAGGATGGGAATGTCAGGTCATCAGTAAATGTTGAGCTGAAACCAGTGGCGGCTCCTGAAAAAATTCTCAGGGGGGGCAATTTTTCTGATGATTTAGGTGACCTACACACATTTAAAAAAATATATGTCCAGCAACAACATGAAGACAGGGGCAGCATATAAGTCAATGCCAGAAGCATTTATTGACTGATCTCAAAAGTGTTGGCTTACAAAAGCAAAATAAGTTATCACAGTAAAAATAATCAAGGGTGTTCTTTCACATTCCTCAACACTGCATAAACAATATGCATTTCCATAAACAAATGAAATATCAGCTGAAAATACAGCATATTGGTATTTGTTCAGATTGCAGGATCAACAAGAGCTTTTACCACATTTTTTGCCTCATGGTTGAATTGGAAATATGTGCACCTGAGCATAATTCACAACAAGCAAGCAGGAGCTTTTGATAGAGGCTACTGAAAACATTGATGCAAGTTATTGGTAATAAGAAATTTTTATAGACTTCCATATTCTGCCCTCTTGTATAGATTTGTGAAAATGAACAGTGATAGACATTTTGCCTGAAAACAGAATTTGAAAATAATTTCTAGAAAAGATAAACACAGCTATCTGTATGGCTTTGTAAAAATGAACAACCATATTCTGGCCAATTGTATAGATTTGTAAATATGAACAACCATATTCTGGCCAATTGTATAGATTTGTAAAAATGAACATGAACAGATTAATTTTTTTTTTTAAACTTTTTTAAAAATGAAAAATAACTATTTTAAACAACATCAACTGTGAACTGATTTGGGCGTGTGTGTGTTAAAGAGACAGACAGGGAGGGACAAAGAGAGAGAGAGGCTACATTACTTGTACTGAAACTGTTATCTTCTCTCTTTTAATGCAGCAAAGCGGTCAATGACTTTCTCATTGAAATCAGGCATGCTGAGGACTAACTAGTTCACTCTCCATGGAAAGCATGGCCAGTGCATTCAGACGTTCCTGGCCCATTGAATTTCGCAGGAATGTCTTAACTCGTGTCAAAGTTGAGAAACATCTCTCAGCTTCAGCTGTTGTCACGGGAGTAGTTATGAGGATGTTCAACAGAGTCACAGTCTCAGAGAACGTCTCCTGGAGGTTGTAGCTCATGAGAACCTGGTACAGTGCCAGTGCACCACAGTTTGACTTTCTCGTTGTCGGCAAAAAGACCGTTCAGTCTCTCCAAAAGCACACTGGCGATTGAGACTGAGGTTGATTCCGAGATGGGAAGGAACTCAAAAAAGCGCTCCTGCACTTTGTGGTTGCTATCTATGTACCTCAGCACAAGCACCAGCTGTATCTGTGTAGAAACGTCCGTGGTCTCGTCAGCTTGGATAGCTACGAAGTTCGCCGACTTCACCTCCTCCACAATATGTTCCCTCATGACCGCTAGCATACACTCCAGTTACAGTAGCTCGTTTTGAATGGTCTTTGATGTGAACTTCTTTCAAAGAGACAATCGAGTTGCACTGAAGGCTAGCCATCTTGATAGTAGTACGTGAATTGATTGACGCTGCTACCCGCTCTTTTCTTAGTTACGTTCATGGTTATGTTACGTATGACGAAAGCGCGTAAGTGCAAGCCCTCAGAAACCCATAGAGATTGTATTGAAAGCTCTGATATTTGAAAAAAAAAGATTTTACATGACAGGCTATGAGAGACTTCTGGGCGATTTTCAACCTGACTGAAATCGCCCCAAAGTGGGCGGGGCCATTTGAAGCACGACTTTAGCCTGATTGGACATTTAGTGGCAGATCAGACGTCTAGATTAGAACACTGATAACTACTGTTGCTGTGATATAATTGATTAGAAAAAAAATCCCTTCCTTTTCCCGTTTGGCAGTGCGTCACCCATATCGCCCTAATGAACACACCGCCCCTGGCTGAAACAAATGCAACGTTCTATAAAAAAAAAAAATGTATGCACTCACTAACTGTTAGTCGCTCTGGATAAGAGCGTCTGCTAAATGACTAAAATGTAAAAAATGTTCTAAATCAATTAACCTTGAAACCATGATGTCTATCAAAATTGAATCAATAGAGGATCTATTGCTTCATGGCAATTGTATAAAACATATTCTCTCTGGTAAAGCAACAATTTTCAGCATCAGTCCCAGATAATTCACATTTTACAATAACTGAGGACTTGATGGTCTAAATTATACCATCATAAAAAAGGGAAACACCAGGGCGGCAGGTAGCCTAGCGGTTAAGAGTGTTGGGCCAGTAAGTGAAAGGTTGCTGGTTCCAATCCCCAAGCCGACTACGTGAAAAATCTGTCAATGTGCCCTTGAGTAAGGCACTTAACCCTAATTGCTCTGGATAAGCGCTAAATGACTAAAATGTTTTAAAAAAGAGAATACACAAGGAATAGAATCCTTACTCAAAAACCATAAATGCAGTGTTGCAAATAAAAGGAGATCCAATGCACCCTTCCTCAAGATAAAAGGTTATTGCTCCCAAATATCATGTGAAACGGAAGGACTGTAACCAAAACATTTATAGACATCATTCAGAAGTCTCTTACAAAGGAAAAATAGTACACCAAGGGGACAGCTTAAAGGCTGGGCACATATATCAGTTCAATGTCTGATTTTGATTCACATTTGGTTAAGTAGTCAAATTCAACGTGAAATCAACAACAAATGTCACTATGTCATTGGATTTAGGTAAAAAGTTGGGTGAAAAAAATACGAAATGCCCTTACGTTGATTACTTTTTAAAGAGTAATTGTCTGCTTTTAACAGAATGCAGTAGGTTCTGGCACCGATGTGCTGCCCAAAATGTAATCAGAGTCAACTTCCCAGTCGGAACTTCGAACTTCCGATAACTCAGACAGCATGTGAACACCCCAAGAAATACAAGCCATGCTGAACAAACAGTTTTTGAATGTGGAAGCATTACTGTCGTGTACAGTATGTGATACCATATCAAAAAGGCAGACAGTGTGCAACACATTCCCACATATTTAGTTAATTAGACTTTCGAGAGCATAATTAAGTGAATCGAACACCAATTAGAACCCCCGAAATTACATCTACCCTCTTCTCATGGAGAAAGGGTATACAAAATATGATCAATTATCTTCCAAAAATGTCAAACAAGATTGGAGGACACTACAGGGCTGTATCATTTGACAATTTAAATAACAAGCAAATGACTCAAAAGCAAGGGGTTACCAAGGGTGCTTTGCTAACCATCCTGGCAAAAGTTTGCAAGAAAAATGTGAGGCAAAAATACAAAGGAAGCAAATTTAAGACCTACTGTTGCAAATATTTATATACTGCATTATTGCATAGAGTACAATTACCTTCTGGTGATCACTTAAAATCTTCATACATCAAACCAAAATAATTTAGATTGATCTGCTTTCTTCCAGAGACAGTTTATCAAAAGTCCAGCAGATGGTGGGGGGGAGGGGGAATACCTAGTCAGTTGCACAACTGAATGCATTCATCCGAAATGTGTCTTCCGCATTTAACCCAACCCATCTGAGTGGAGGTGTTTATGCTGAGATCACTCTGAAATCAAACAAACACAGCACCTGACAGATGCCACAGCACATCCCGCTTCTCAAACATGAGTTCCCCGGATAATCAGATGGGTAAGTATATTCAGTAATAGTATATTAACTTACTTGTTGTATATATGATACTTGTATGAAAGGACGTTAAATTGAATAATATCAACAACTAGAATTGGTATTTATATCAGTAGACGACTGTAGTGCAAACCCATCAGGTCAATGCAATAATACTTTATATATTTTGTTGAGTTATCGTTAAATGGGTACACAAAAAGTATGCTCATTTACTGGCAAAAATAATATACACTAACTTTTCAACAGTAAACATGTAAAAATACTGCTGTCAAACATACAGTATATTAAGTATATCCAATATAGTTCAGTTCAATTCAAATTACTTTATTGTGAAATGCCGGATCTTCTTTTGTGGTTGACACAATCAAATTGACACAATAAATAATAAATACAGTCACACTCACTATTCATCAACAAGTACATCAATTCATAATGGGGTCTATTTTTTCTTTTTTTCTTATGAAGATGCTGTCCACAAACAATACATTATTACCTTGTTAAGTGAAACATTCAAGTTGATTCTTTTGTTTATTAATAAATAAATAACAAACTTAACTGAAACA